CTGGCAACCTGCTCCTGGGAACATGGTTTTTCCACTGTGCCAGGGCCTCCCTGTGCTCCTTTCTCCTCTGGAGGGGTCCCTGCTGGTGACTCTTCTGGCCCCTCAGTGGTGCTGTAGATGTGGGGTTGTTGAGAGCCCTGTACTTGGCAAGGAAGTGGAACAGCTTCTCATAAAAGGGCATGGTCAGCACTCACTGATATTGAATCCTCATCATCTCCATCTTGGTGTGGCACAGTGCCGTGTCCCTGTTGTGGCCCCATGCCTGCATCTGATGGGTGATGCATGTGAATACATCCCTGTTTCACTTCCCATTCTGGAGCTGGCATTGGATTTATTCCTTACCCTAGGTGGCAATGAGATTTCTTATCTTCCTATACTCCCAATTATGCACCCGGGTTTGGCTGGTGGCAGATGATGGGGTGGGTTTGTTCATGGTTCATGGCAGTGTCCTTGGGGTCTCAGCCTCTGTTGATGGGTGATGGTCTGGCTGTGATGGAGTGGATGGAAGGCTGAAAGTGTGGATAGGAGGAAGAAGAGAAAGTAAAAAGGTGCAGGTCCTGGCGTGTGCCTCTCCCTCTCACTTCAGGTGGGTGTGGCCCCTGCTCCAGAGTGACTGGGGCTCCACTGGTCAGGCCACCCCCACAGCCTTGACCTTTCTAGGGGCTTACAGTAGGCCCCACATGATTCTGCGAATACCCTTTACCCCCTAGCTGTTGACCAAAAAAAGCCTTGCAGCACTCCAGGTGCTTGTGGGCCAGATATCTGCCAGCAGTGCCTGCAGCATGGAGGCCACAGGTTGCCTCTCTGCAGGCCCAGTCCTAATCTTCTGGCCCCTGCCACCCTAACCCAGCAGAGGTGAGCCACCTGGACCAGTTCTAGTAGGGGAAGGGGGGAGGGGCCATGTTGGGGTCTGGCTGACAAGGTGCCTAGTCCTGGGGCTGCCTGGGAGGGTGTGCTGGTGCGAGGGCTGGAATCCATAGGGCTGTGCCTCTGTGTGTGTGTGTGTGTGTGTGTGTGGTGGAGGGGAGGTTCTCTCAGACTCTGCATCAGGTCTGTAGGGTGATTTGTAACTTCGGGGGCGGGCTGGAGGGAGGCATGGACCAAGGATGTGGTTGCCCCAGTGCCAGGGCTAGTGCAGGAAAACACATTTCTCTCCCCTGCTCCAGCATGGCTGCAGCTCACAGATAGAGAGGGGGCACTGGCTAGGGCAGAGGCTGACTCTTGTCAGTTTCAACTTGTGTAGTGGGGCTAGCTCCATTCTTGGACAGAGCACATAAGCTGTGGCTGAGGCTGGAGTGCTACCCTGCAAGGGGGTGGTCAGGGTGCCACAAAGCCCCATGGGATGCTGGCAGAATGAAACCTATCTTGACTTGTGATGGGATCTGGCACAGACGTTCAATAAAGCACTGTAACCTAAAGCGCTTTAGTCTGATACCGCACCCATCCAGGGCTGACTTAGAGCAGCATCCACTATTTTAAAAGCATGCTCTGTACCATGACAGTTTTCTTGGTTCTGGCTGTAGAGGACATTTCGTGTGCTTATCATGCAATAGGTGTAACATCTGTACCTAGCCTATGTTTAACCAAAATCTTCAACATTTTCAGTGTGCCAAAATTGAAATAAAAACCAATTCTTTGTTTTTCAGATTTTTTAGTTAGTTGTTCTTCTTTCCTTTCCCCCATTTCCCTTTTTCCCATTTTGATATCAGGTAAAAACGGATGAAGCAAAATGGGAAATGCCAGAACTTAGGGGGGTTATTGTGAAAAACCCCAAGCCCTGGTTCATGCCTGAGCCAGCCCCAGTCACTGTTTAAGAAAACCTGTCTATTTTTTTAAAAGCCATCTTTCTCTAAAAATGACTATGCTTGCTTTCCTTCAAGCAACTCCTTTAGAGTCATGCCTCTGTGCAGTATTAGAGGTGGTTTAAAACATAAGTAAGGAAGTCCTAATGCAAAAATGTTTGTGGACGTGCAGGAGAAGAATTAAAAGTTGAGTCACTCTCTTAGCTACAGTAGTGCAAACAAAAATAAACCATAAATAAAGGTCAGGACATATGAGAAACTGTACAATACATCACAAATGTCTAGTCCAATGCATTAGTGAAAACAAGAGCAATTATTTTTGTGTTTTGGATTCTATTTGCACTATGCTTATAGGGGGAAACACTGATCTGTGTCTGAACCTGAAGGGAAATTCCTAAACCAATTTAAAATTAAAACCATATTTGCCATTAGGGTAGGATAGCAGTTCTCAAGCTTTTTTGATTTAAAGCATCCCTTGGAAAATGCCAGCTCTTAACTTTCACTCAGATTTTTGACTATGAAAAAAGTATTGAGCCAATCTGTCTGTTACAAAGAACTCAGAAAGACTACAGCAGGTTGCTATGGTGTGAAATTTCTGGGTTTATCTTGGGAAGCATGTAGATGTTTTCAGATCTTACTGTGCTGATGTTGTATAGCACCCTTCAAAGGCTCTCCCAACACCGCTGGGTGCTGCAGCACCTTAGTTGAGAATCACTGGCATAGGATCACTGTAACCTGTCTCCTGTAACCTGGCTCCTCAGATACATTCTTCTAAGGGGACAGTGGGAGTTGGCCAGTGTTCTCCACTCAGTACTCCCTCCCCCCTGGAACCATAGTTTTTAACGCCTGTTAATGGTTTTTCATCGGTTGTCCAGTATTCAGTTGTTACACTGTTAGTGGCCTCCAGCACCTGAGGTGGAGAGGGGAGGAGGGAGTTCAGTTCCTTGGTGTGTCTAACACCACCACTGTAGCGTAACAAAAAGGCCAACTGGAAATGTAGAATGGAATGGAGGTGACAGTCACAAAATAGGAGCCCCCAACATTATCCATGAAAGAAACTTAAAATATTGTGGGATTCTTTCCTTTAGAGCAAATAACTCTATTACCTATTTCATGATTCTTTATTTCAAAATACAAGTAAAACCAATTATAGCTGGGATTGATCTGGAACACCTTGAACTGAGGGGAGGGAAAGTAGCAAGTTAACTTCAAACCCATAACAGAATTCTGCAACTCCTTCTGCCCTGATCAAAATCACTGGTCCTATAAGCCTAAAGTTGATGATGCCTGGGCCCTCCCGGTCAACTTGCTGAGACCCCTAAAGGTCACATCTAACTTAGGTCTAGTGACACTGCAAGCTCCATAGAATGCACTTGAATGGGTTTCATTGCATTTATACCATTTGTCCACCAGGCTGTGCTGAAACATTTCAGATAGTTTTGTCTAAAAATTGTACTGAAAATTATTGTGCTCACTGCATCTATATAATATAGTACTATATGATATGGTAACATGCATGTGAAATTCATTTATACAGGTATGTGTGGATCTTTGCATATGTAAGAACATGCTTTATTTTGGTGTGCATGTAAGGATGCATATTTTATCTACATGCAATATACACATAATAACCTTTTTTGTGGGCCTGCTATATCACTTAGTATGCTATTATCAGACCACAGTCCCACTACTAAATAATCAGCTGTTTGTTGTATAGATGCTGAGGGCAAAATACCAAGAAGAAGGAAGTATTACCATATGCATCTATTCATTCGTTTATCAGGGCTAAATAGCTGAGATAATATTTTATTATGTGGTGGTCTAACTTTTAGGAATTTTTGCTTCAAAAGTGGAATAATAGGCAACAAAGTGAAATTCTTGTACAGTTCTCCCTGTACCCAAACAACATTGGTTATGATGCTCTCCTACCTTATAGACACAATTGGGAGCTGGACAAAAATTTGTCAGTAAACTCAACTATTTGTTGGGGAATGTTAGCTGAATGGAATTTCCAGTGGGATTGGAGGGGAGAAGGGACTGTAATGCTTCATTTCTCATCTTGTTTTGATAACACTAATGCTTCGTTTTGAAAAGGTTAAAATGTTTGACTTCAGCATTTTATTTCCTTTGGTTTCTTGTTTGATATATTCATATGCTATATTATAGAGTTTTAAATAATCAAAGCAATTTTTTTCAACATTGAAAAGTTTCGTTATTTCCAACTTGATGGTTTTTTCCATTTCCATTTGACAAAAAGTGTTGACTTTTTGTTCCAGGTTGGAATGCTAACTTCAGAATGAATTCCCCAAGAGCAGAAACCCTGTGTATAAACCATATCTAATAACCCATTTACAAATGATATTCTGTCCTCCAGAGTGAATAATGGGTTCTCATTATCAAGGCATCCTTAGCTCTTCCCCATCTTTTGGTCTCAAAAAAGTCTTTTTCTCACAAAACTGCAAATCAGAGTTCTCAGATGTCTGTCAAATCAATTTGGGGTTCAAAACTTCAGCTCAGCTAATGAACTTCCATTTTTCTTCCCTCTCATCACCAATTAATGAACTTGGACCTCTCCTGTTGTTCCTGTCCCAGTGAATTGTGAACTCTACTCTGTGTTATTTGCTTTTTCTCACCCCATAAAACAGTGAACTCTGAGTTACCTCCCTTTGCACAGGGCTTCTCTGGGCTGCCATTCAGGCACACAGGATGCTGTCAGCTTCCCAACCACTTTGTCATATGAGACGTATTGCTCCTTAGTCACTTAGACTATTTTCCCTCTGCTCTGACAGACATACTCTACCTATTGGCAACAAACTACCCAGACAGGCTGCCTACACCTTTCACTCAGATTCTCTTCTCCTTCCACCAGCCAATTTTTACAGCCAGAAAGAAGGGGTGCTCTCAGGGAGCTGAGTTCCTCCAAGTTCAGGAACGCTGAAGAAATGAAATGTGTGCTTTCCTGTTACAAGAGGGGAAAATTCTACATTCTTTTAATTTCCCCTGTATTTTAACTCTTGTCCAGCATCTCTAGCTTACTGGCCTGTTGGTAAGTCAACAAAATAGGAAAAAATGTCTTAAAAGCTCTCTTGTGCTGGGTTCATGGGGTAATTGTGAAGACAAAGTTTGTTTGTTTTTCCAGATGGATAGATGCTGGGTGGATTTCATCTCTGTAGGGCTGAGGTCATAGTCTGGGTCTTTATGTGGTACCAAATTAAACATTTTTAGCATGCTGATGTAATATCAAGTCTCAGGGAAAGTTACTGGTTCACACCTCTAGGTTGTAGGTGATGTCAAAGCTCAGGCCTTTACAACACCCTAGCCTCAGCAGCTCTAGTGTGCTGAAATGCTTCTGTGAAGTATTTGTCCAGGATTTTTAAGTTGTTTAATAGAAGTTGAGGCAAAGACTGTTGCATTGTGATTGCCTTAACACCACATGTTGTCTAGACTTTTATCAGGATATGGGTCTCTCTGAGTACTTTGAGCATGCCTGCATGATACATAGGCATAGGGTTTGTGAGGACTAAGACCTCAGTAGTGTCACTAGCTCATCATATTTTTGGTCTGATGGCATATATAGGAAGATGCACTGCTCTGTGAAGAGATTGGCTCAGTAGCTCAAATTTCACATATCTGTGAGGATTATGCCATTACTACATCTAGGTAGTCTCATGTCAAAAGACAAGACTCAATACATGACTCAATAATTCGACAGTGCTGAACTGATGTGAAGATCCAGACTTTAGTGAGTGTTTCTCATGTATGGGCCTGATGTCTAAGGACAGAATTTGTGGGATTACTGGTACTGCTGTTGAGGGTTGCTGAGAGGATATCTAAGTAAAATATTTTGATTACTGTTTTAGCATCTCATGCTTTCCAGGTTGCTTTCAATATAGTTCCTTGAGAAGTCTGGAATTCTTTGACTGCTCTGGAGTGAAAGGCTCTTCTGAGATCAGTAATTCAACATTTACAAAAAAGATATTTAATCAGAAAATCTAATTTGTCAAGATTGAAACTTGTTGAAGAAATGTCTTGAAATTTAGACAGGTTAGAAAGAAACAAAATATCAATGGCCTGCTGCTTAGGACAGGTGCCTGAAATATGGAAGACCTAGATTCAAGGATGACCCAAACCTAGGTCATCAATATGCATGATCATTCCCATTACTACAAAGCTGAACATTGTTTCTGGTTGTATTCAGTAACCCTTTCTTTTAGAGGTGTTTCATCTTGTATAAAGAAGTTTAACTGAGCAAGGGAGAGACTGATATCATAGCCTACTGGTTAAGGCATTTACAGGAGTTGTAGACTAAACATCCTGGTTTGAGAGAGAGTCTGACTTTATAACCCAACAGTAATGTTGCTCCTGGGGAGACTGTGAACTGGGCAAGGCAGATTCGTACCTGGGTCTTCCACACAGTACCCTAACCATCAGACTATTGGCTAGTCTCTCCTTAATTGGATTTTGTTCAGAAAAAAAAATGTGATTGATCAAGAATCCAATTCACCATGGCACAATACCATGAAATATTGGCATGGACACAAATGTTGAAACCTCAGAACTCCATACAACATGGCATTCATATTTTCATTCAGCCATAACCAACATTTCTAGCTGTCATGGTTGATTCTGAGGCCTATATTTTTTGTGAGGTTAAACATCCCAAGCATGCCAAGGTGGATGTTCAGAATCAGTTCTTTATGAAGTTACTATCAGCTTTACTTTGCTGGGCTAAAGCCAATGTAAAAGTTTATGCAAAGTTAATGATTAACATGTCTAGTTTCCTGGTCTCTTGTCTCATGTGAAATGTCACTGACTCATCTCTGTCTTGCTGTGCTGTTAGATAAAGACCTTTTGGGTTCACTGTCTAGCACTCGGTCTTAGCCCACAAGAGGCCGAGAAGTGATTATTTTTACTGGTGAGATTACTAACTCAGCATCAGTGTTTAAATTAGATCAAAACAAAGCCATCTGTAGTGGCTCTTTATGTTTTCTTGCAGGCTTCATATTATTTTCTGATGTGACATTGCTTTTAGCTTTGTGCGTAGGGACAAGAGAATAAATATATTTGTAAAGGTATTTGTGTCCCTAGATAAGGCTGTAGTCAATCAAGCAAAAGTTGTGAAGGCATTTTAACAGATTCAGAATGTGAAACGGGATGGGGTCCAGAGCTGGAAGTGTCTAGGTTTCTTGGTACAAATGGTATGGAGAAGTTGAAATGTTTACTTCCCCCCTGCTCCATCTGATCTTTAGGTAAAAATCCCATCAATGTTGCCAATTTGGTACCATTTACTGCAGTTTCACTCAGAAAAAAGGGTCAGGTGGATATATATGTAAAGGCTTTTCTCTTCTTTTGCATCCATTCTAGGTTGCTATTTTTTAAAAATTGCACCTCATATTCAGTTGCTCAGCTACAAGCTTTCACTTGCAGCTAAAAATATAAATAAATCCAGAGTTTGTTTAGTTTAATTCCTGCTGCTGCATTTTTTCATCCTAACTATCATGTTGAATTAGACATTTCTTTGCTCAAAAATCATCAAATACAAAAGGGTCCAAAGTAAATAATTGCAGTAAATCAAGTTGGATAAATTAAACGGTTATAACTTCAAAATATAAGATATATAGGAAAGGAGGGGGGGATGAATATTTTGATTAAGTTTATTTAGGTTTTTTTGGCAAGAGCTTGATCTTCAATAGACATCCAGGCTGATCCCTTCCCCCTGCAATCTGACACCTCTTGGCTTCAAGACATTACAAACAGAAATCAACTGCCATATGATGGCAACTGCTCTGAACAGCCTGAGTTTGTGCAGATGAGGCTCCTGTCAAGTGGTTTGGGAGCAAAGACCACATATGCAGGGCTGTTATAAAGCAGTATGAGTAATGCAGCACAGAAGCAAGAACAGGATATGCCTTCAGCTTCGGGAAATGGGTTAATGCAAGAAATGTATGCAGGTGTTCCCCTGCTGGATTTATATAAGGGAAATGGGTGTGCCAGATTAAACAACAAAGAGGTTGCAGCCAATTATATGTTTGTATAACATTATTTATGGAAAAACTTACATAAAAGTAGGTTGCATTAACCGTCTTTACTAGTAGGACTGTGTGGTGGGAAGAAACCTCCTCTCTATCGGCTCATTAGTATTTGTTTCATCCTGGAGGAACAAGCAGATGTCAGTAATGCCAGGGAGAAATGCAAACCTTCTTGTTACTAATTTGCTGCGTGAGACCTGAGGACTCACAGTGGAAGGAATGGGGAGGGGTAGCATTTGCATCTGAACAATGGGGGAACAAGTCTTCCTTTTGTGACTAGCCAGCTGAGGAGTCATAAAGGTATTATACATGAATACGTGTCTGAAGGGAAGGGGATACAAATAGCATTGGCCCCATTCTTTCACTTTCTCAAAGTGGGTAGAAAGGTACCCCCAAAGGGATTTCTTTGAATAAAGTAATGCTGCTCTAATCATTGTCCCTTGAGGAACCCCTGCAGTTATGCAGCCTTCCCCTCCTAGGCTGGATTCTCATGACACCGCTGCTGAAGAAGCCATACTGCCTGAGGGACAGAAGATTCAGGAGCTGCCTTTCTAATCTTATTTCTTATTCAATTGTACCATTTTTCCTTTGGCTCCTGTTGTATGTGTAATGGACTTTTGAGGCTAGCCCATTAATATTCCATTGAGGATGGAAATTTCCATTGGCAATGCATCGGGAGGGCATCGGGGGGCATGTACCCCCCTCAGATTTCTGCACTGACAGTGGGGTGTGGTGCAGGGGTCTGCAGCCTGGCCAGAGCCAGGGTCCAGCAGCAGTTGGGATAGCAGTAGCAATAAGATTTCTGCACCAGTGGTGGGGCATGGGGCTGCAGCCTGACTGGACCCAACACCCAGCAGCAGCAGAGGCAGCAGCAGTACAGAGTTGTGCCCCCCCCTCCCCCACACACACACTGGCAGCACTTATGTGTCACCTATGGAAATTTCCTCCCCTGATGGAATAATGTGTAGGTGATTTCAAGAATTAACATTTGTACAGTTTTGTGGCCTCATGGTGAGTATTTGTGACATAGAGCTTTTCCTGCATGGTGAGGAAATTTTCCCTAACACTAACGCTTTTGTAGTGTTGCTTAAAGTTGTCTATTGATGTCAGTCCTTTTTAACCTGGCTCACTGTGCATGTCTACACATAATATCAATGCAACACAATAAACTCTGGCACAGTTGTGCCAGAGTTTATTGTTCCTGGGAGCAGCATTTGCATGTGTGCCAAGGATCATAGCACATTGAGGTGTGGCGGTGCAGCCCCGGCTTGCAGGAGCCTTGGGGGTTAACCTGGCAGCCTGGAACTGCTCCCCTTAAGCTCAGCATTCTGTGGATGGGCTATCTGGGGCATGGGGGTGCTACAGTGTGGGTCTAGCTGGAGTGGGCAGCAGCCCCCTGCATTATAGCAACTACATGCCCAAGCAAGCCCCAGTCACTGTTTACACGTGCATTGCAGTGGAGTAAATAAGTCCACTGTAGGATAGTACTTGCATTTGGCAGTACTATCATATGACAGACTTAATTAATTTACTGCGGCCTAATTGGGGTTCACATGTAGACAGTGGTACTTCACTGTGGAGCTAATTAGGCAACTCATTAAAGCAGCTCCTATAGATGCACCCCCTGAGATCAATGGGGAATAGAAGACTAGGCCTTACTGTGTGAAGCAATTATCAGCAAAGCATCTTCAGTTATTTTTTTAGTGTTTAAATACTTTAGATATTTATGCTAGCAAATGACTTTTTCTTGTAGAAAGGATCCCAACAGACTTATTTTTTTTCCCATGGCATACCACTGTAAATTGAAGTTGCCAGTATGCCAGTTTGAGATTTGCTCTTGGCATACTTCAGTGCACTGAAACAATTCAGTACCTGAATTCTACTCCTTAGGAAAATTGTTTTACTGTAGTGCAGTAGATGATAGATCTGCCATGTTATTGAAATATATACTTTTAACAGTTCAGTGCATTTAACCAAAAAAAAGCCTTATATATTTTATCTGAGAAGTATGTGCATTATTAGTCTACTGGTCAGCATTTGAGAAATTTTCTGTTAATAAACTATCCTCAGAATATAGTCAGGTGGTAGGATCCCTGACACCTCTGCTATGATGGGAAAATGCTATGCTGTAATCTTTGCATATCTCAGATAACAGGCAAGGGGTTACAGAAGAGTACAGAAGCTTTTATGAAGCTAAATACTTTGTTTCTTTGTAGGAGTGTCACAACTAGTCTTGCCTCAAATTCTGTCCCTCTGAGCAGTGCAGAGAACTGTTTGTTCTGTAAGAGAGGAAGGAGGAGAAAGCAAGAGTGTTCCTAGCACTATTTTTCACTGCATTGCAAACCCATCCAATAGACTATACATGAAAAAATATATAACCCCCCCACCTGAAACATGTGATTCATCATAGACAAAGTCACTGCTGCTACCTCCAAGTGGATTTTTCCAATGATATTAGTAGGATACATGCATCTTTGTATGCGTGTGTCAGAGTTAAGCAAGGGGGAAGAAAAATAATTAAATGTGCCATTTTGTTGGTCTCAAAAGTTATTGAAACTCACAAAAATCATTGCATATTTCATCACACTTGGCAGGCCTTTCTCAGGAGAGGTCCAATACTGGGACACCAGCCATGCACTGCTGCTACTCATGACTGAGGTGCATTGACAGAGAGTGGTGTGTAGGATTTAACATGAAGCCAGCCTGCACCAAACTTTGCTCCAGCAGGGCTTAATCTCTCACATTTGTGTGTGCTGAAATTCACCAACATTTACTCCTGAATTAAAAAACTCACAAAATTATGTTACTAAAGCAAACAGGCCATGGGTTTTTTTTCCCCTATGTAAATAAAGAAGAGTCATATTTAACTGTTGTTGTTTTGAATAAGGTGACCTTGGCATTAGATGCCAATGCATTTGCTACCTCCTTAGGTGTTGATGAAATTAGCTCTTGGAGAATCAGGACCATGATTGCTGTATACAGGGTGCATCTACATATGCACTTGAATGCACATTATCCTATTTTAATGCACATTAAAGCACCACATCAACATGCTCATTTGCTAATGCATATTAAACTAGGCTAATGCACCTTTTTCTAATACCTCACAGTGGAGGTACTAGATTTAATGCACAATACCAAAGGCACATTAATGAATAATGAAGACAGTCCCACAGTGACTAAGACAGCAACAAAGGCAGCAGAGGTGTGGTGGCATGTGGGTAGGATGGTAGTCTGGGATTTGGGTAACCAAGATTTAGTTCCTTGGTCTACTACACACTTTAGGTATGACCTAGGACAGATAATTTTAAGGAAATGAAAAAACAGGGAAAGACTATTTATAAAATGGGGATAATAACCCTTCCTTATTTTAGAGGGGTATTTTGAGGATAAAAAACCAATAATGATTGTGAGGCATTCAAATTCTATAATAAGGGAATGGAGAAAAGTATTTCAAAGAGAACTAGTTGTGCAGCTGGAGTTTGTGACTAGCTCCTGGCATTCTCTCCTTTCCCCCGATGCAGGTTTCCACAAGGGTGATCTTAGTATAACCCTAAAGCTAAATGAATACTTTAGCTTGGTTTTCAAGTAGGACTATTCTTAAGACGAGGTAATGTCAGGATGCCTGAGGATATAGAAATTAAGATTAGACATCCATGCAGAGGTCAATGAAGATTCCAATATGCTTAAAATGGAAGGAGCAGAGCTACCTACAGTCCAGAACTCTGAAAGCACTGGCATGTGAAAAGTCAAATCCCATTTTGGGGCTTTTAATAAACATAGCATAAGAGGGTGTTGCCTCTTGAATGAAAAATAGCAAATGTTATATTTAAGAAAGGCAAGAAAGTGAACTGAGCAATGTCAGACCTTATTCTATAGTAGGCAGGGATTTAGAATAAAATTGAAGGGAAAAAAATTTAAAAGACATGGTGATAAGTGGAAAATGGGATGAAATGCAGCATGGGTTTATCAAAGTTGGATAGTATCAGACGTATCTGATATCTTTGTTTGATACGATGACTACATTTTTAATACAAAGGAAACAGTATGTCCAATATATCCAGATTTCAGAGAAGTATTTGATATGAAAGTATTAGTTAAAATGGGGATTAGTACAAGAATCATGTGCTGGAAAAGGAACTAACTGAGGAGGAGGCAGCAACACGTTGTGCTGAAAGGGGAACAGATGGGAGGGACGTTACAGATTAGTCCAGGGACTTGTCATATTTAACATTTTCACTGATATGTACCTACCTTTTGTGTAATGTAACTAATGGAATTTGTGGACAGCATAAAGCTTAGAAACATTGCCCATATGAAGGAAGATTGGAATACTGTGCAAGAAAATTGGATGACCTCAATGGCTGAAATATTGGAAGTAGAATGGAATTCAGAAGTACAAAGTGCAAAGTCATGACAAGTTCATTTGGGGACTAATTAGAAGATTAGTCAGTTGTACAGATATGTAAAGTGGGGACTTAACAGTTAGGAATGACAGAGGAGAAGAAAGATCTGAATGTTAATTGATCACAAGATATGAGACACCAACATAATATGGCTATGAAAAAGGCAAATGCAATCCATGACGTGTGTCAGGCAAGCCATTTCCAAAAAAGTTAGGGGTGGATTTATGCCATTGTACAAGACAATTGAAAAAATTCATTTGGGATACAATTCTGGTCATCCACATTCAGGAAAATTAAACTCAAACAGGAATGGGTTCAGAGAATGGCTATTAGAACAACCAGGGAAATGGAGAATGGATCTTATGAGAGTTTGACTTGTTTAAGCCTAGAAAAATAAAGGCTGAGAAGGATGTGATTGCTCTTTCTAAATAGCTGAGGAAGCAAACACCAGGGAGGTTGATGCTATTTAAACTAACGGACAATGTTGGCACAAGCAGATGTGTATAAGTTTCCCATGAATAAATTTAGACTGGAAATTAGAAGGAGGTTTCTAATCATCAGAGAAGCTAAATTCTGGAATAAGTAGGGGTGCACCACATGTAGCTTGATCAGGTTGCAAAATAGGTTATATCACATGGTAACCTGCAACAGCAGGGTACCAGACTAGGTGGCCCATGAGATCCTATCCAGCCCTATTTCCTCTGTTCCTAATGATAAAGATCAAAGGCTTGGAAAAATTCTTATATAAAACGAGATTGAAAAGATTGGGATTGCTTATCTCAGAATGAGGATGAATGAGTGGGGGACCCTTCTGAAAGTTTATAAAATAATGAACAGTATAGAGGACTTTAGATTGGGAATGTTTGTTGTTGCTGTCTTTCAGCACAAGAACAAAGGCACATTCAGTGAAAATAAAACATGACTAATTCAGGACTGATAAAATGAAACTGCTTTTTCCCACAATGCCTAATTAGACTGTGGACCCTGTTTCACAAAAAGTCAAGAACAAAAACTAAGCAAGATTCAAAAAAAGGATTGACTATTTCTATGGAAAACAAGAACATTCAAATTACTATTATAAATTACTGATAAGTGGGTGTGGGGGCGGGGGTTGGGGAATGGGTCATTTTAAAACCTTGGCTTCAGGTCTTAAATGAGAGACAAGACTGAGACATAATGTGGCAAGTGGGCTAATTATCATATGTCTGCATAATGCAGGGTTCTCACACATTCCTATGATACATGTGGTTTTGCCAGGCATTTAAGGCAGAATACTGGACTAGGTGGACCTTGGGTTGGCCTGATTTTGTATATCAGTTTCTTCCTTCCTATATTACTTTGTCTATTTAGAATAACATAAATTCTTGTTAATCTATGTACCTTCTTCCCTCTAGCATAGATACAGGTGACATATGTTAGGCAGAGAGTTTTTCAGTCATCGGATCTCTTTGGGCAAAACTGTGCAGAGATTTGGAATGAGATGCCATCAGTATGCTGATGACACCTAGCTCTACATTTTCTTTCTCATCTGAACCAAGCCCTGCAGTCTCCATCTTTCTCAGTGCTTGGATACAGCTGGGGTTTCTATGTGGGTAAACCAATTAAAAAAGGAATCCAGACAAGACAGAGATCATTTGTGCATGTGGGAGTGGGGCAGGAGGGAGGAGAAGAGGTGTGGGGTTAGGACACCAGTCATTGAAGGGTTCAGCCTCACCTTGTCACTCCAGTTCACAGCCTTGGAGTGGTCCTTAATCCTCTGCTGTACCTGGATCTTTAGGTGGTAGTGTTAGTTAGGAGTGCCTTTTACCAACTCCATTTGTTGAGAATGCTGCAACCCCTTCTTTCAGATGAAGATCTGACCACCATCATCCATGCCTTTGTAACTTCAAGGTTAGACTATTGCAATGCATTCTATGTGGGCTACCTTCAAAGACCATGTGGAAGCTGCAGCTGATGCAGAACACATCAGCTGGCCTTCTAATGGGGATAGGGGCATTTAACTCCAGTGCTCCAGAGTCTGCATTGGCTCCCAACAGTTTTCTGAGTGAAGTTTCTGCAAGCCCATGGGAGAAAGGGGAGAGCTAAGTGTCATAGAGTGTCCTTCAGAAGCTGCCTTTCAGATACCCTGGCCCTTTGGCCTCCTACATCCTCTGGTTCTCCATGTCCCTCTGGTTCTCCATGGTTTCAATCCTGAGAAGTTGGGGAGGGGACTGAGCATAACCCAGAACTTGAAACAGCACAGCTGATGACCTCTTCGGTAAGCACCACCCAGTCAGTATTGGGGCAAAGGCCACCCAGCCAGATGTCCCCCTCCAAAAGGGCTAAGCAGTCTCTCTGTCTCCAGTCCAGCCCGCACAGCCCTGAGCAACTGCAAAGATACTCAGCTGCTCCCTTTCTAATCTGTAGTTCCACAAATCTATTCCACTTCTCTAAGTCCCAAGCTGCCAAACTGCTTATTTCCAACTGCTTTCCTGTCGTCAAGTTTATCTCCTCTGCACACCTCTTAAGCATTTGGTTTTACCTCTGTTGATATGTCAACAAAGCCAGCAATTCAAGATTTGATGCTAAAAGTTCATTTTGTCTCTTCCTGTATGTGGACCCTTCGTTCTTTGTGCAAGGGCCAAGGAGGCAAAATCATATCACATCATATCATATCAACACCTTTAACACAGAAATATCACAACAGAACCTATAGTCTGTCACACTAGGGCTGGCTTTGATTTCTTCTACATAGTATTTCAAAAATTAAACTTTCTATAGAGTGAATTGTACTATTTCCTCTCCTGGTTCCTAGTAGGCAAAGACACAGATGCATTGAAAAAGAGGAAGACCAAGAACAGTTGTCATAAGGACTGACTATGCCAGTAGTTTGCCAATTGGTGATTCCTTTTTTGTAAGGCATCCACAGATATTTCTTTAGGGTTACTTAAAACCAATAGTATATAGGGAATTTCAATGGGGCTAGGGATCTGGCCAGATTTAGAATCCAGAGTCTAGCTATTGATTTTACCAGTGTGCCAGTATTTTATAGTTCTAATACTATTTGTTTTTGCTTTTCCATGAAATATATATGCCCTTAAAAGGCTCTGAATCTTTGCTGCCAGATTAATAGGATTTACACTGGAAAGTGGGTAAACTCAGGTTTATGGATAGACTAAAACCTGAAAGTTAATTTTCTGAGCTAAAGAGACATCAAATTGGTATGACAACTATGGTTTGCAGGAGAGAGATATTTTAGTATGATTCTCACTTCATGTATTATGGGTTGGTAGTATATAGCAACCAGGCAGATTTGTTCTAGGTTGAAAATAGTTTGTGTACAAATATGGTAAAATATTTTTCAAAATGGCTTATGAACAGCTTCCAGTATGAAGCTGTTAATTCTTTTGTTTGTCTGTTTGATTGATTAAACTACTCAAGGGGGACAGGAGACAGCTTTTAAGCTCCTTTCATTATTTGTTCATTATAAAATCATTCAGGGGGGAGGGGTTTAAATAGAAGCTAAAGGAGTAAATGAGTATATGTTCCTTTTAATCCTTATATATCTTTGCGAGAGCTATCATTTTTCTTTTTCCATAAATCATCAGTCTCCCCAGTGATATCAACAGAGTGACATACTTGTCTCTCCCCAGGTGATACAGCTGACTCTTTTCATGTATTGTTTTTCCACTAATGCCTTTTTATCCTTAAGGAGAGATATAGCTGGTACATAGCATGAGTCAGAAAAAAAATCCTGTTTACATCTTCACCGCTTTGTTCTTTCTGGGGTAATGGCCAAAGTTTACCTAGAATAGAAGTCATAAACACAGAAGTACATGTATGTTAGAAACTTATTGTATCTCATACCATCTTTGAAATATTAATATATTCCATGTTTTACATTTCCCACTTTTTCAGTTGGGAGTCTATGCGAATTTTAACTTGAGGATCAAAGGTGGGAAGGAAGTATTTTATAGCCAAAATCTTTATCCAGAGATGTATTTATATATTCACATTGGTCATTATAAAAAGCCTACAATAACTACAGTGTTAATACTTTTTAAGACTTGACCTACGATACAAAAACTAGAAATTATCTGAACAAGCTGAAGGATGTAGAGGATCAAAGAACTGATCTCTAAAAACATTTCTACCACTCATTAAATATACCTTGCTGGTGATTAGAAAGTGCAGACCATCAATCATCTGAAAAGCTATGCTTTTGTGTATGTTATATCCACTGAAATCAATTGAAAAAATTCCGAAGCTTAAAAACAGATGCTTCCAGAATCACCAACTGTCTCAGAAAATCTTGGTGCTAACACTTTAAAAAACCATGGCAACTAATGATACCATCTTGGCCAGTCAGACAGGTGGCATGGTCATGGCTATCTTAATACTCCATGACTAGTGATAAAAATTGCATTTAAACCACTATAAGTGATTGAAAACTGGTTCAAATCTGACACAATAGGTCTAGGTACAGACAGTCCAAAAGCCCAAGGCTGAATCAATTCAGTCTTTGCAGGTTAGTCTAGACTGTGTAGATTTAATTGAAATAGAAGTGAACAGACAGTTCCCTTTGATTCAGGAAATGTAGCCACATGCCTGCAATGCCTCAGGACAGAAACCAGGGGGTGCTGGAGCATGGCTCTCTGGCTGTGTGTCACTTCCTCTTCCTGCTGTCCCCAAAGTCTCTGGGATTTGCAGTCCAGAATTACAGCAGCAGGACTCTGAAGGGTTGCTCATCACTTCTTCTTTCTGCATCCAGGTGCCTTTGGGATTTGTAGTCCACAGTTACAGCCAGCAGTAAATTTGAGCAGGGGAAGAGGTATTTAACTTCCATCCCTGGCCCCAGACCCCAGCCAGGATTTACCTGGGCGAGGCAGTCATGTCCCCACCCCACCCATAGACTGGGCTGCATCCCCAGCTAGGCTTGCCTCCCCACCCCCTTGTCAACCAGCCCTCACTGCTCCAGCTAGGTAGCTGTGCAGCAGACAGCACAGCTTAGGCCAGGTCTGGAAAGCATGCTGGGGGACTGTGATTTAACTTGAACTGGAAAGGGGTCTGGGACAGAAGTTTCATAAAATGGTTTGACCCAAATAAGTTAAGTCTGATACTACATTCAGCCAGGTTTATCTTAAACCAGTTTCAACCATTTTGAAATTGGTTTATGTGCACTGAGTTTCTGTTGTGTTACAGGTTTAAACCAGTTTCTGTGTAACTTCTGTCCCTAACCTAGAGGTCCAGTGCACATAAACTGCTTTCAAAATGGCCAAAACCACTTTAAGATAAACCTGGATGGAAGTAGTATCAGACTTAACTGATTTAAGTTAAATCAGTTTATTGAACTTCTGTCCCAGATCCCCTCCAGATTCATGTTAACTCACTGTCCCCTAGCATCCCAGAATGGTTTGCAGCTCCCCTGCAAACTCCCCCCCATCCCAGGGTGGGAGGGCTAGCCTTGGCCCAAGCTGTCTGCTCCAGCCAAGGAGGGAGGTGTGCTCTAGCACCCCCTGGCTTCAGCCTGGACCACTGTAGGCACGTGTCTGCATTTCTAGAATCAAAATTGAATGTTTACTTGCTTGTCAGTTCAATCTATGCAGTTTAGACTAACCTGCAAAGATTAAATAGATTCAGCCTTGGGGTTTTCAATTGTTTGTACTTAGCCCATATGTTTGAACACTAAACTTTAACAACTATCTTGTACTCCAAGTTTATGCTGTTTTATAAGCTTAATAGATTTATTAAGCTGTTTCTTATGTTAATTCAAAAGCATCTTGTAAACACCTTGGAGATGTATATTTTTTAATTTAAGGAAAAGATTTGAACAAGATTGAAATGCTCAAACCAATGATTTTTCCAATGCTTCATGGCCCAGAAAAGTGCAGTAAGTTTAGGTGATAATTCAGATGCATTTGGAATCTAGATCGGTGCTTCTCAACATGAACGGTGCATGCCCCCAGTGGCTGGGGGGCACTGCTGTGTTGGAGGTGGCGGCAGCAGGAGCCCAGCAGTGGTAAGTGGGGGAGCTCCCGCAGACATCACCGGCACTGATGGCGGCCGGGGGGGTGGCAACAACCCACAGGCACTGCTGACAGTGTCAGTGGTGCCTTTCTGCAGGCGGTGCACCGCCACACTCAGGGGGTGCACATGCACCCATGTGCACCCCCCACGTCATCCCTCCTTCTCAAGTTGGGTACCATGGCACCCTAAGACCCTTTTAAGGGTGCAACGGTGCCAGAACTACTATTGCTACCACCACTGTCACCAGGTGAAAGTGTCCCACATGCCTTTTTTCTCAGGAGGGACATTCAGGGAGAAACAGCAGAATGGCTACAGAAGAAGGAGGCACTTCTGCCTGCATTAGGTTTTGCTCTCCTCCCTTCATTGCTCTGCTTCCTCCTAGCTGGTAATATGTAAATAGGAAACGTAAGGCTGGGAGACTCCTTGGGTGTAGGACAGCCGCATTTTCCTTCAGCAAAATCTGCATTTCCTGCTAGCCAGTCTGGGAAGGGAGTGGAGCAGGGAAGGGAAAGGAGCAGAATCTAATATAGGCAGGAGTGCTTGTTCCTGCCTCAGCCATTTCCTTGTCCAGCTCCATATGGCCCACATGGAAACAGAGGTGCACGGAGTAGTGGTGGTGATGGCCATGGCAGCAGGGGCAGCAGCAGTAGCAGCGGCCTGGAGAAAAAGTATCTAAGCTGAAATAGTATAATGTTTCTCATCCAAGATGCCACCAGGTTTAGAAAAGTTAGGGAAGAATGTCCTAGGTTTAAAAGATTGAAAGCCACTGATCTAAAGCTGTCAGAGTGTTGGTTGCCCAAAACTTGCAAAGAGCAATTTTTCCACTCTTTAGTTGGTCTAATAAAAGATACCACATTTAACCAAAAACACAATCTAAATCTATGGCATTTTTTTATTAATAGAGCCCACTAGGACATATTTATGACCATTACAAAGGGTTCACAAATAATGTCTCAAATAGAACTAGGTAGAGGACACTTAGACCCTACTCATTCCAATGGAATATTTTATTAATAGATCTTGGTTACCTGTAACTGTCACACATACATTCCAGCTTGGAGTTATTGCCATATCCAAAGATACTACAGGTATTCCTTTAACAGATGTAGGTATAAAAGACAGTGTTGAAGCATAATATTCTGTTTAGGGCTAGGGACTAATCCCAGGATGGAATTTTATACTACTTGATGAAACTGTATAGTAAATGTATGTCAGTGGGCTATTTTATTCAGTCAAACCAGTACTACAATGTAAATAGCCATTTTCCCTTCAGCACTGCCTTAAAGGAAATGGTATTTTATTAAAAACAATCAGGAACAGTCACTTAGATGCAAATACTGTTTGTTTTCCATTACACAAGTATAAATCTGGAATGACTCACTCATTCCCAAGGAGTAATTTCAGATTTATAACAGTATAAATGAGAACAGAATTAAGCCCTTAGCTAGCATGAACACATTTTCCAAAGTAAGGGAGATCCTTCAGTAAGGGTTTGGAACTCCCATTAGTAGGATTTATAGAGATAATGAACCCCTGCATGTTAGCCAACAGCTTTGTTCTTTCCAAACTGTTATGTCTAGTGATACGCATCCTGTATATATTTTCATAAAATGCCTACTTGCAATTTTAATGTATATGTGGGTGTGTGCTTTGTTTCACGTATTCTATTTCCATACATATGGGATGGTACATGCTGTTTATAACAGGGTGCTTTACCCGTGAACAATTTTTACAATGCTTAGTAAAGTTTTGTCTTCCTAAAATTGGAATTCTTAAGCAGGGCATTCTATGAAATAACTTTCCATCATCTGTTCCAACATTCTTTTTCTCTTTTGAAAATCATGGCTGATTAAAAGTCTAGTGCAACAGATGTTTGTGATCTCATGATTGATATGTTTTCTAGGCAGATGTCGAATATTAGAAGCAGACCCCTTTTGAATTTTTTACAGTGTTCAGAATCTTTATTTTGCTTTAAATATTACAGTAGGACACAACTGCTAGGCAGAGTAAATATTTATATATTTATTATAGTTAAAAGTAGATACAACTAGATTTATTCTTTTATATTAGCTATTACAAGAGGTTAATAATATTTTTCAGGCATCAGGCTTTTATAATGCTTCATGAACCAACATATAATTTATGCTTATGAAACACTGAGAAGCTTGTAGGCCAAATTTGGACCTGATGTTAGCAGGTGCAACTTCACTAACTTTGTGGATCCCAAAGCAGGTTAATAGCTTTTATCAGCTTGATATACAAATAAATCACTTTGCTAGTAAGTCATTTTATTCTGTTTTAATACTGAAACTGAAGTCCCCTTGGGAGTGAGATACTTCCACTAGCTCAGCAGCACTGTGCAACATTTAAAAACATGAAGCAAAGGTTGATGAACATGAAACTGCAGAGGGAAAACAGGTAGCACAGTGCATTTAGACAGAATGCAATTCAGAAGGACACTGGGCTTACAACCACTCTTACAAAAATCCAAAACACAAACAACTCCCTCCATACAAACAAACAAAAAACATTGCACACCATCATGAAAGGCTTTAAAAGGGCAGAAGGCATTCAGAAAGTTTGTTTTGCATGTCACCTGAAAGACAAAAACTCAAGAAACTGTTGTTTATAGTCCTTAAATAACTGTCCTTAAGTATTAAGTCTGTTTCTTTCCAAGAAGATGCACAGGTACAGGTGCTTTGTTCTTTGGTTGATTCTAGGTATTTTTGGAAG